CAGTCAGTTGAGTATCCAACTCTTGGTTTCAGCTCAGGTCATGACCTCACAGTTTCAGGGTTCGAGCCCCACATCTGGCTCTACGCTGGCAGCACAGAGGCTGTTTGGGATTCTCTCTCTTCTTCTACCCCTCCCTTGCTTGCACTTTCTCTTTCGCTCAAAATAAATAAACCTAAAAACATTTTTTTTTTAATTTAAAAAAAAATTTTTTTTTTTTTTTTTACATTTATTCATTTTTGAGAGACAGAGAGAGACAGAGCACAAGCGGGGGAGGTGCAGAGAGAGAGAGAGGAAGATACAGAATCCAAAGCAGGCTCCAGGCCCCGAGCTGTCAGCACAGAGCCTGATGCGGGGCTTGAACTCACAAACTGCGAGACCATGACCTGAGCCGAAGTCAGACGCTTAACCGACTGAGCCACCCAGCGCACCAAAAACATTTTTTTTAATGATTAATAAATAATAAAATATTTTAAAAAATAAAAGGAAACAAAAGTAATTTTGAAATTAAGATTAAAAAGTGGTATCATGTTACAAAGCCAACAAACATACAATTATAGCCAGAAGCCTTGCTCCTTTAAAAATTTTCCTCCAGGGCACCTGGGTGGCTCAGGCAGTTGAGTGTCTGACTTCAGCTCAGGTCATGATCTCACAGCTCATGAGTTCGAGCTCCACGTCAGGCTTTGCACTGATAACGTGGAGCCTGCTTCAACCCTGTGTCTCCCTCTCTCCACCCCTCCCCTGTTCTCTCTCCCTCTCAAAAATAAACATTTTAAAAAAATTTTTTAACAAATAAAAAATGAAAATTTTCTCCAGTAATGCCTAATCCAGTGACTACCTATCTTCAATGGGTCACCAACATCTTTTTATAGTTGCAGGACAGTGGCTTCTGCCACTCTTGGAGTCTATAGCCAAGGAATCCACAGGCTGAAAATAGTATCACATAATTCAACCAGGCTTAAAGGTGACTGAACAAGCTAAGGGCACACAGGCCTGGAATCAACTTACACACTGTGTACACACAGTTAAGAAGCTCAGGGAATTATAAGTATAAATAAGCAGGAACAGTGATATCCTACAAGTGTCCATCATTTGGTTAACTAAAGGGTAAAAGTTATTCTAATTGCTAAAGGACTTTATTTTTCAGAGAATGGCCTTCTTCTAAAACAGACTCAGGAAAGTTGTTGCTATTACATGGGAGTCAGTAATTTTAAAACACTTCAAAATACAAATAAAATCCTATTAAAATGAACTCCATAGTAGCCATTCATTGAAAGGTTATGGTACAGTTTTTTATAGTAAATATTTGTGTCCTTATGAAAGTCAAAACCTCTTCTGAACTCCATTTTGCTATCTGTAAAATGAGAGGGGTAGATTTAGAATCCCTAGGAGTTCATCCAGCTAAGTTTACTCTATAAATACAGCAGAGAAAATGAAAGATCTGACATAAAAATGTTACCTATAATACCTTTCCTCCCCATAAGGTTTTGATCCTTGTAGATGATAGTTACGACTGATAAGTAGTTCTGGAGTAGCTTTTTATCAAAAGTGGCTAGAATATTTGAGGCAGACCTGGATTTCAGGGTCAGAGACAGTTCTACTATATGTTGTGTACCTCTAGCCAAATTACTAAATTACCAAATTGCCTTGAACCTCAATTTCCTCATCTGTAAGAGGAAGAAAATAACAGTACCTATACCTCATAGGGCTATTCTGAGTAGTAAATAATATAACGCCTAAAACTGCGCTTTTTTTTTTTTATAAGACTGATTATAACGTTGGGTACATACTAAGTATTCAATAAATATTATTTTTATTATTAAAAATCTGACAAAAGAACTGCTAATTATGTAGAAAGGATATTAAAAAAACCAGCACTAGACAATCTCCCCAAACTCTGTAAGTGTTCTTTTAAAAAACTGTTGTAGGGGCGCCTGGGTGATTCAGCTGGTTTTTTTGGTTTTTTTTTAATTTTTTTTTCAAAGTTTATTTATTTTTGGGACAGAGAGAGACAGAGCATGAACGGGGGAGGGGCAGAGAGAGAGGGAGACACAGAATCGGAAACAGGCTCCAGGCTCTGAGCCATCAGCCCAGAGCCTGACGCGGGGCTCGAACTCACGGACCGCGAGATCGTGACGTGGCTGAAGTCGGACGCTTAACCGACTGCGCCACCCAGGCGCCCCTCAGCTGGTTAAGTGCCCAACTCTGGATTTCGGCTCAGACCATGTTCTCATGGTTCGTGAGATCGAGCCCTGCCCTGGGCTCTGCGCTGACAGCACAGAGCCTGCTTGAGATATTCACACTCTCCGCCCCACCCCCCTCTTTCTCTCTGTCAGCCCCTCCCCTGCTCACTCTCTCTCTAAATAAATAAACTCTAAAAAAAAAAAATTGTTATAATTAATTCAACCCAATTTAAACAGAGACTGGGAAGGATGACCACCCACATTCCAATCACAGAAATAAATGGCTTTGTGGTAAGAGATTTCTTTACTAATGGTGTTCACTTATAATGGAACTTTACCTATAAATCAATCCAAAAAGTAGACCATACTACAATCTTACCTCTGTGAACTTGTTGAGGGTAGCATTGGTAGGGTTGTGAGTTATCAGAAAACGCATGTTCTCATAGGAGATCTCCACAGGGGCTGGACGGTTCATTATGGCAAATAAAAAGTGTGAGCGTGCGTGTGTAGGTGTGATGGGGAAAATGAAAAAAAAAAATCAATAAATCTTGAAATGTTTCACAGCAGAAAACATTAAAAAGACCACTAAAATGCCTAGTATCAATCAGTGTTTTCTCTATTCAACTTGTTTATTCTTTAAGAAGCTTCTCTCTTCAAGGTAAGCAGAAGTATTTAGAATCCACTTGAATCCAAATTCAACTTGGGCCTCAATGTCTGCAGATGGATACCTTCGGACTCCAAAAATTCCAACTACATACAAAACTGAAGTAGCCTTTACTACATTTAGGCACTAGTGAGACAAGTTAAAAGTGTAGGTTGCTTTCCACTTTTGTTTACTTGATGCTTAATTTTACTGGAGTCATTAAAAGAAATATGCTTGCAATAAAAAAAAAAAAAAAAAAAAAAAAAAAAAAAAAAAAAAGCCAACTGTTTCTGAGGCCAGTCTCGGTGTCCAGAGTCTTCAAGGCAATGTTAATTATGGCACATAGAAGCCCCAAGCTCACTTGTCAGCGAAAACGCTGTGCTGAGCCTGGCAGAAGTCTGCCCTCACGCTCAGAATCGCCATAAATGTGCAACGTATATTCCAACGAAAAACCTAGAGGAGAAAAGCAGAAGTAAAATGAAGTGGAGGTTGACAGCATAGTAAACATGATGCTCAAAGTCATGAATACATTCTCTGTGAGCCCAAAGAGCTCTGAAATGCTGAAATGCCACCAAGTTTTAATTACTGTCATCTATGAAGACTAGGATAAAAATGTATACCAAGAGTTTTAAAAGTCCAAAATTCAAAAGTGTGTTTTTTCTTTTCCAAAATGGGATTCAGCAAAATTTCTGTGTCAATAAGATTATTTGTAACAAGTCATTTTTTAAATGACTGAATTTTTAAATTCACTTAAAATAGTTATTAAAAGATCCTTAAAGAACCTTCCGTCCATAGGCTCTTTGTAAAGTTCACAGCAATCTTATTCTTCTGCTTTGATGGTTAAGTCTTTCATATACACACTTTGCTTAAAATAAGATACATCTGTAAATGGATGAAGGATATTTACCAAAATTTCACTCTGAGGACTGAATTCTTTCTATCCAAAGGATATGCAATGGCCCCCAATTATAACACTAGTCCATAAAGTACTTTTTGAAAAATTAGCTTATTTTCCTCACAACTCTGAGTACTTATTGCTACCTAGAAGGAATGAGGAAAGAGCATCAGAAAAGTGAAATGACTTGTCTAGGTAAATGTCTTCTGTTAATCCAATGTTTTTCCAATGTACCACACATAATGCCTGCTACCTCAACTAATGCATGAATCCCATCATCTCATTTCTAGCCCAGTTTACTTCTTTACTATTTCTCACATCACATCTCTATCTCAAGAGTACAAAGCATCTAAAGGTCATTGATTCACACAGCATTCTTCTGCCCAAGTATTAATCCATCCCTAAGACAAGGCAAAAAAGTGGCAGAATTTTTTAATATTATTTTGGGCCTGCTGCTTTGAAACACAGTAACCTTTATAGTTAGCTCAGTCAGAGTATCAAGATAATCATAAATTGCTCTGAGGATGCCTGGCTGGCTCAGTCCGTAAGGGTTTGGAAGTGAGGATTTGGGAGTTGGAGCCCCACCTTGGGGGTAGAGATTACTCAAATAAATAAATAAATCTAAATAAATGAATAGCTCTGGAAATAGGGACAGGGTCTAAGTTCTTTCACTTGCCTCTTCTCAGCCACCAGTAAACGCTTATTTAGTAGTCTCTGAAAAGATGATTTGACCAGATAGAAAAAGACATGGAAGATAATGGCTACAGAACCATTTTCAGGAAGAAACTAAAATGCATCTAAGAAAGAACCTAAGCTTACAAACTTTCAAGCCTATTCTATTCACAAGTCATCTTTTTATGATATTCTTATGGCACTGTATTTTGTTGTCACTGACATACTTGTGACTATATTAACCATGGACACAAGCACAAAACACATAAGAAATCCAAAATGGCATTCTAAGAACTTCAATACCTCAGCAGAAGTTATACACTACAGTAAAAACATGAAACTTCTATACTCAAACTAAGAAAAACAAGAATATACACCACCACTTTCCCAACTCCTAATTCTAACTCTAACCACAAAACACAGCCACCTTAGATTACACATTTCATAGAGTACTACTCCCTGTGCAGTCAAGGAATTTTAAAGCTACAAGAAACTTACAGGCAACTACTCTGACCTTGGGGGGGGGGGGGGGGGGGGGAGATGATGTTTGGGAGGCAGATTAAAATGACTTAACTAAGACCACATCCCTAATAAGTAGCAGATCAAGGACAAGAACCCAGATCTCCTAACTCCATTCATGTTTCCAATTCTGACTAGGAGGAACCCACATATTTTTCAAGTCATAATTTTTTTTCATGCAACTGTAACTTTTATTCAAATATCTGCTTGGATGTTGATCTGCAACTCTGTGACCTTAAATAAGGGGAGAAAAGATTATTAAAGTAACCACTCAACAATGGTTTGCATGCAGTGAAAAGCAAAACACAAGGAAATTCTAACCTATTGGAATCCCTTTGGTTTAACGATGTTATCACAGCTAATATGTGTGTCAGCTGAGGAAAAGCACTGAAAGGCCTGCTTTGTAGGGATGGCCAGGCTTAAAAGGTTACAGCTCTAGCATTAAGTTTTCTACCTAGTCTCCAGTGTTTGTCTGCTCAGCAAACAAAACAAATGTTATCCCATCTTACTCCTCCAACTTCATTTTAGAAGGACCACTTCCAAGGATAAGGATAATTCATTATTAGATTTTCAATTCTTAACACCATACTGAGATCCCAGGCAAAGGAATTTCTGCCAAATGAAACAGTATGTTCTATCAATGTTAACAGATACATGATAAAAACAAGCTTCTGCTCCTTCTTCAGCCCCCCTCCCCAGTTCAACTACACATCAACAGTTAAATGCTCTTGCACCTGTCAATTCAGATAAACTAATGTTAATTCCTGTAACAGACATAAGAACACAAAACAAGCAGTCTGCAAAAAAATCATAAACAACTCACCACAGCTGGAAAATACTCAAAAGTTACAAAGGCCTGTTATTTCAGCATAAACTTAGCACCTGCACATCTTACAGGAAAACTTTCTTCTAAAACTGTCTCACTGGCATTAATTAATGTTATCTTTTAGAGAACTTAACTTTTAAAATGTTGAATTTGGGACATTTCCTATACAACATTTCCATTTTTAACAAAAGATGGTAACTTCACTGCAGGATTAGAAGGAATGGTCTGTGACAGAAAAATCCATTTGATTTTTTTTTTTTTTTTTTTTTTTTTT